TTCACACTGCAAAATGAAAAGATATTCAGTAATTATCACCAGCCGTTTCTTCGCAAATAGATGAGATTAACATTTAAAAAATATATATGTAAATAATTCCAACCGTATGAGGAAATGTTTTAAAACATAACGTCTGGATATTGAAAATGGAAGAAAAATTATGTACGCTGTATTGTTCATTTGATTAACTGGGAGATCAGCTGGGGTTTTCATAAAAAATTAAAACGCGAATACAACCAAATATTTGAAATACGATGACAATTCAGACTTAGAGCGAATAGATTTTCACTGTGGAATTGAACGATGTATAAAGTAAAGCTAAAAATCCGTCCGAGGAGATTGAAATTCTAGTGGGCATCCTTTCAGTATTAGCAGATACTTTGATGGTAGATGCCAATTTTAGATCCATGGTCAGTTGAAGGACCCGATCTTCATTATAGTCAGTTAAATAAATATGGTTGTTAAAGTAAGCTATATCGGAAAGTAAACAATTTGAAGGAACTTGCTCACAAGACATCAATTCACCGAGATTGTTGTAAGTTAAGAGATTAGAATCAAAAATGTTGCCGACTAAAATTGTGCTATTATCTGCCAATGTTATCCTTGGGGAAGTAACCATGGACAAGTTATGTGGTATATTGATTTTATAAAGAAATTGTAAAGAATACCGAGGTCCGACTCTGTAAACATCCAACGTCCAATCATGGGAACAAACAAGATTTTGGTCCTTTGTTCCGGCTAGTAATTCGTAGCCAGTTTTGGTTTTAAGACCGGCTTCTACTAGGATATTTCTCTTGCTGATTCTGGCCACAACCAACATAGAAGCGATGGGTAAGGAGACGAATAAAGTAACAGGGGTCCACATACACATTCCCGTTGGTTTTGTACGAAGAGGAAGTTCAAAAATTAAATCTCCACAAAGATTGAGCATTCTGAGTCTCTGATTTGTCTCATCAGCAATAACGATGTTGTGATTTGATGTTATGACGAAATTTTCAATTTTTGCATCATGAGAGTCCTTTAAGGGAATAGATGGAAACTGACCAAACTTTTGGGGCTTACAGCTGTTAAGACTGAAAGATCTTGCGAAAAATGACCGTTTCTTCCTATCATCCATTGTAAATTCCGTTCTAGTTCTTCACCTTCAAAAATATGTAAGAAGTACGTTATTTAATAAAACGTTTGTTTTAACAATACTTACTACTGCCTTGATTGGTTGTTCATACAACATACCACTTTCGACAGCCATTTGATAGTGTCAATCCTACACGAATCAGAAGATTCAAATTTTCTATAAAGAGACCAAAAGAAATGGACCTTGATCTTCAACAGTTGAAGATCAAAGGTCCAGGTTTTGGTCACGTCATACAAAATGGTTGTTGTATTTGTAATTGATATTTAGAAAAGTTCTAAAAATATCCTAAAAATATTTAAAAATCCAATCTGATTACTTGTTCGGCTATTTACAATTAAATTAGACGATGGAATTTTATTAAAATTTTATTTTATTTACACTATTTAGATGCGAACTATAAAATCTCATCTTTGCTGTTATCACATTTCGGGAATTTCGAACTGAACCCATTATTTAATCTATTGGGGTAGATTGTTCTCGTTTCACTTCCCATGTCTAGTGATATCTTGTCTAGTTCCTATTTTAGTACTGTTCAGTTATTGCTAACCCCGTTTCTAAATACTCACTACCCGCAATTACTATATCACCAAATTCAAGAACTTATGCTTTAATCCCGGACAATTATCTATGAACTTGAAGCCTTAAACCTAAACTACCTGCCGATGGCTGCTGCTTGTCATACTTGACTACACTCACTAAAACTTTTCTTTTCTTATAGCTGCTGCTGTTGAAGACCTGCTGTTATTTGTCTTTCTTTATTAGTGGCTACCCTATCGTATTTATTTATATGTTAGGCCTACTAAAGAGGTTTGCATAGCCTAGGGTATGCGCTGATTCTTTCAGACGTCTAACTCTTCAGTGTTTTTCCTTTTCCAGTATTTTTTATTCATTCCACTGAGACTGATGACTACCCTTTTCCCTATATACCTGATCAGCTATGCCTGATTTTATTATATCTCCTCTCAGTACAGCTTTTCGATGTTCCTCCAGCCTTATTTTCAGGAGGTGGCTTGGTTTTTTTCACCTTTATTTTCTTTGCCATAACTGTAAAGAATTGCGTATACAGTCCTCCTCTGTGTTAGAGCACATAATATGGCAGAGATTCGTTCATACTATATGGAGAGTGGTACTTGAAACTGATGTATTGTCTGACGGTCGGCTTGTGATATAGATCCATTCTCTGTGCAAGTTATTATTGCATTCAGGAAATCTAACACATTATTTTCTTCCATTATGAACTGAATCGAAGGTTTGAATCGAGTTCACATGACCAACACTATTTGTACAGCTTCCTGGTGAGGCTAGAGTATGAAAGAGTCATCTACATAGCCATACTGTCTGGTTTCAGTGGTGCCATTTCCTCAACGTATTTTCATGTTGCCAAGCTTTTCTACTGTTGGTATATGTCCGACTCTAGTCAACGTTCCCATCAGATTATCTATTGGACATTCTACAAGACAGGGTCTAATTCCAATGGGTTGTCTATATCCATAAGGAATCTGCTGGTGGCATGCCAAGCTTCTGCAACTGACTATAATACCAAGTTTGTGAATCTTGGAGAGACCATACATATGTGGTAGCTTGGTGTAATGTTGAGTCAGCTGTCTATACTTATTCAGTGTGAAGTAATCCTTGTTCTTATTTAGGATCTGTTACATTTTCTTCTAAGTTTTTTTTCACTTTACTACAGCTACCATCACCAACTCGGCTTGCCAATTTTTTTTTTTTTTTTTGAAGCATTCCAATTTGTCCATCACCGCTATATCATTGTCTTTGTCAGTTGGCAGTATGATGTCATAGTGTCACTCTATAAAGTCTTGATTTAGTTGGCTTGGCCTTTTCTAGTGCTGGTCTCACTTCCACTGGAGCTTTCATGTCTAAGTATGAAACCAGTCTGATGGTGGTGACAAAGTTGAGACTCTTGTTTAGCATCAATGCCACTCAACTGCCAATTGCTGATATCAATAATGGCTCTTACCAAACAATTGTGGTCTTTTTTGCTACCCCAACTTTGTTCATTCATTTCTGCTATAATTTTCATATTTGGCAAGTATTGACATTTGAAATTCTTAATTATACAACTTATCTAGGTATTGTTGGATTCTGTATTTGTGTGATTCAAGTATTATTTTGATAAGTAATGTCCTGGTTTGTTTGGAGAGTATTTACCAATAGTATATAATTTCTGCATAAAACATTTTTTTTTTTTGCATTTTGAAGCAAAATTAATTACTCAATTTTTTTTTCACTGATATCTGAATCAATTATCAACCATCTTTAAAATGTACTTTGTTCCATAATTTAGGTCATAAAAAAAGTTTGCAATCATTTTGCTTATGTGATCATTCAATCCTTGACTCTTACAGCATTTTATTATTAAATGTTGCTGCTATAACAGCAAAAGATTTGAACTTGGCCTTATGAAATAAAGAAACTTTAATTTTTCAAAAAATTCTCTTCATTCCTATTAAATTTCTCATAAGAGCTAGAAATCTATTTAAATCAAAGTTATCAAATTACACCAATTCTTAAACTGTTCATTTCTTTTTTTTGGCATACAAGCATGCAAAAGTATGATAAACAAAAACAAAGCACTGTTTTCAATGAAATATTTCATTTGAAAAAAATTTATTTCCAACCATATTTTCATAAGGAATGTTCAGAATTAACATGAATATAAATATAACATTCTTAGATTAGTGAAACTTTTAATGATTTAAAGAGTGTGGTTATTTTTCTATTTCCTTTATCTCCACTGGATTTAATAACATGATGATTGATATGACAAAAAGCCTAGGAACAAGTTTCAATATGTTGAGAACTGTCTTCCTAATTTCTGATATGATCATAAATTCACAAAAATTACTAAATTAAAAGCATCATCATACTGTTGTACTTAGTCAATAAAGACCTCATCCTAATGTGGACTTTTGAATTCAATACTTTGAATAAAGTTGGAGATTTCCAATCAATGTGCTGATATGCAAAGAAAAATTTGCATTTCCTAGATTTAAATTATAACGTTTTTTTTTACTGGTAGATCTATTTGATTGAATGAATCAAAAAAAAATTCAAACATGTTTTTCATGTCATTTAAAAAAAAAAAAAACAATCCTAAAGGTCAGTTTTATTTAATGTCACAATTATAGCTGAAAAATTGTAGATTTTATTAAATTTCCAATTTGAAAAACTGAATAAGAAAAATAGCCCTTAATACAAAGGAAATGTAAACCAGTTTAAATATATGGTCAGGTTTTAAACTGACCAATGATTTTAAAATAATGAACATCTCCTTTATTGCTATGTTACGAGAAACTAGAATACAAATCAATTCTAGAGCAGAATTTTCACAATAAAATTCAGATTTGTCAATCAAAGGAATACAAGGGTTTTAATGTACAATCAAAATGATTTTCTTGGAGAATTTGTTTTTAGGAAACTTTTCAATTTAGTGTCATTTGTTACAGGAGGTGACGATGTAACACATGCAATATTTGAAGTGTTTTTGTAATTTTTACATTCAATAGAATTAATCAAATGAACCCAACTAGATAAACAAATCTAGATAAATTATAATTCTTTTCATAAGAAATAAAAAATATACAGCTCAAACTTGACAAATTTCTTGAGACATATAAAGCATAAGTAATATTCAAATGTTTTTCAAATGTATCTTCAGCTTTATTGCTTATAATTCCAATAAGGAATTACTTTCACAAATTCTAAAATGATTTCCCAGTTCACATTAAAAAATTCATAATATTCAATAATTGAAAGATAAGGCATTTTTCAAAATTTAAAGCTTTTGGAATTTTCTCTCTCATTCTTATTGTTTAATCATTTAAATCAACTTGTTCTCTAACCATCAAATGTCATTTTCTATTATAGATTTACCAGGATGAAAAATTTTCCATCTGAGTTCAGAAGTGCCTTCTGGATGAGCAGAGGCTATGCCAAATGAAAAACAAAGAAAATAAAAAGAGATGAGAGTATAAGATTTTAAAAAATTAGATATTGTTATTCCTTAAATATTTTTTCTCATAGTGAGTAATGATTTACAGATCAAAAATTATCAGCGCTACAGATTTTACAAAAGAAGAAAGATGTGAAAGACTTACTGAAAGACTAGATAATTAATCCTAGGCTTAAAGCGTAAGACATTTATCGATATTTGCACATTACTCATTTGTCATAATTCTTGAAAAAAATGGTTAAGTCATTTTAATTGGATCTTGGTGTGCAGAATTAAATATGCAGACAAATAAATGTTAAAGGAATTACATTTGATTGTATTTTCAGGTGTACAACTGCAGTCATGCAAAAAATGCCCAAGTTGTCAACTGACACTTGCACTTTTGTTGAGTCAAGAACTGTACAATGTGAAATGTTTTATATCAAAACTTTAAACCAAAAAAATAAAACCTTAAAAGAATATCAACAGATAAAAATTAATTTGAAACGTCACCAAAAAGAATGATCACTTGTACATTTTTCTTTAAGATGCTGACCAAATGAAAACAATATAACAAAAATGTTTTCCAAAAAGTTTTTTTTTTTTAAAATAATTGTATTTGATTTCTTCTGCTGCCTTACTTTAAATATCTTGTCTCCAAAATATGAGGAGAAAATTATAAAATGTTCCAATACAGAAAATGAACACGAGAAACCCTTTCTTCAAAGCATCAGTATTTGTATGAAAATAAAGTTCTGTTATAAACCCTTCAACTTACTATTTAAATCAATTTTCTTTAAATCAATGAGATATATCAATGTATATTTCCATTATGGTAACTTAAAAATGATTCTATAGATCTAGTTCAAAAGAAAGTTCTGTAAGTCGGATTTGTTAAAAGTTAATCAAAGAGAAAAGAATATTGCCAATGTCTGTCATACTGTTAGTATAGAGAACACCAAGAGGTAATCTCAGAAAACAGCAGATGTACTGTCTTTAATTGGGACTGGAATGTCATAATTAAGTATATATGTATTTAAGGAACCAAGAACACAATAGTAAAACTCTCATCAGTCTTCAAAATATTGGCAGTACCTTGATGGTTGTTAAATTCTGCAAAATTTCCAATAAACTCCAACTTGGAAAAAATGCATTTTTGTCAAAAGTAAGCAGACATGAGACACATAAATGAAACAAGAAAAAAAATTAGTGATAGAGCTATCATTAATATAACATGGGGCTAAAAAAGTTGATCACACCTTTTTAATTATTGTAAGGCAAATTGTATAATGAGTACTAACAAGATTTACTTGTTTATTCATAAGAGATTATGATAAAATCTTACAAACAAAAAATTTAAAAGATACGTAATACAAATCATTTTTTTAACTTATTTTAGTTTTCCTCATTGATAAAAAAAAAAAAAAAAATGCCTTCCATGTAATTATTATTTTTGTGTACGTTTACTCCAGAGGTGACAACACTGAATTAGCAATTTTCTTTTTTTTTCAATATTTTAAATTTGCTTTTTATTTTTTGAGGAAGTTAATGCAAAAGTAAACCCACTTTGTATCAACTTCAGAATGTCTAAAATTTATTCTTCCATAATTTTATGTCTTCTTTCACTCACAATGAGCAAAAGTACACAAAGATGAGAAGATCTTTTCTAGTCACACCTTAAGACAAATCCGGACTTGGGATCGCTTTTTCAAGCCGGAGCCTATAAAGAGAGTGGACTTGGCACTTCTGATAAGAAATTGTATGAAATGAAGAGACAAGATTAAGCAAAGGCAGCTGAATTAGCTGAACAGAAAATGAGAAATTGGTAAATGAACTGAAAAATTATTTAAATCAATTAGGGGAAGAATAATTTAGAAAATTGCCCTAATAATTATTTTTATTTTTAATATACTGAAGTATTAACTTTCAGAATAATTTTTTTCAGTTGATAAAAGGCAAAAAGAAAGCAAGACTCAATAATAGACAATTACAAACCATTTGTGACCAATAACTACACTTCACATGACTTCTTACAAATCTATTGCAAGTACCTCCAAAACTTACAACCCAACTACCCAAAATGTTTTAATGGGTGAAATTATATTAAAAGACAAGAAATATTGAAACAAAATTATGGTAAATAGATAAATGAGAAAACCTAATCAACAGTGAGTTTAATTAATTGCTTTGCTCATTAATTAAAAATAGAAAATTAGGGTGGGAAGCTGAACAACAAAGTGAATAAAACCATCATATAATCAGTATTAATCAGAATAAATACCTTCTAAGCAACTGGTGTGCTAAGGGTATGTGAGACTAGCCAAAGCTCAAAATGATTGTTCCAATATAAGAATAGATACTGAGCTACACTTTTTAAATGCAAATAGTTACATAAATCAATGTATATTCAAGGTAAAATAGCTGCATAATGTCTGGTACAGTAAAGCTGAAGCAACTCTACTTGTCATTTCGGCCTTCAAGTTAAGAGATGGCCACTGTATAAGAGGTGTATCACAGCAGATATTTAGAGATCTTATACATAAATCTCTAAGTTCAAAAATGGTGACCGCCCCCACCTCACCCAAGAAGAAAACTAAGCATTTAAATGCTTAAAAAGATCTGCATTTAGCAAGAATCAAAGAAAAATAAAGATTTCTTTTTTTAATTAAGTGAAAAAATGAATAACAAAATTGAAGAGAAGAATGGGAATAAAGATTGAAAATTTGAATAAATTAATGAAAAAGGATAATGAAATAAGAAATAAGTGAAAGCAATAAAAAAATCTGAAACTACATAAAAAGATAAAAAAAACTTACTTTTAAACTGAAATTATTTAAATGAATGGCAATATCAGTGAAAAAAAGAAAAGACTGACTTGCATGAACAAAAATTCATTAAGAGCAGATAAACATTTCATAGTTGACACTCAATAGGACCATATGTTTGCCCAAAATCAATGTAAGAAAAACAAAAAGCATCTTTGAGATCTTTTGAAAACTCAAATCAGTATAACAGTTGAAGATTGTAATGCTTATAGATAGTGAAAGACTTGCTTTAGGTTTGATGCTTAGCCAGACCCTTTAAACACAAACACCTAAGTTGAATAATTGTATATTCAAGATAAAATTTTGGGCAGCTGAATAAAGAACTAATCAGAACAATTACAATACTCATTTATCTGAAAATTAGTTGGTAAATAAGTAATAATAATTTAATTTTCGATAGTTTTAAGAGTAAATAGTCAAAAATCAAAATAGATTCATATTCCTGTTTTTAAATGTCTTGTTTGAATTCAAAGTTCTGGTAAATTTCAAAACTACAAAAATTTCTTTCCTGTACATCATTACTGCATCTATTGCCAAGTTTTTGGATTTATACAAATTATTCTTTATCACTAAATAAATATATATATATATATATATATATATATATATATATATATATTTTTTTTTTTTTTTTTTTTTTGCAAAAAGTATATCATTATATGTATTTAGGATTTGCAAGGAAAATTATATGAGGAAGAAATAACCTATTTACATTTTTTTTATATTAGATTTAATAAAACAATTTAATAAAATCAGGTATGTTTTCTGTTTAGTTTCTAGAGAAAGTTGATCCTTTAAAACAAAAAATAAATACCCCCCTACCTCCACCAAATCAATATGAACTCTAAATTCAATAAACCTCAACATTAACTCCATTGTCTGACTATGCAGAAGGAGAATAACATTATTTAAACTTTAAAAGTTACTTACAAAATGAAAGAAACAAATTAAGTAAACATTCATAAAACATGTTTTATGTTCTGACTCACTAATATAAAAACACAAGGTTTTATACATATTTTTAGATCAGCATTATTCACATTTTACTAGACTTATCTAATTTGATCTGTATTTTATCTTATACAGAGCCACACAGAATGCAAGTAACATTTTTAAAATTATCAAGCCAAATTATTTAAAAACTCAAGTTTAGATACAAATGAAAAAGAAAGAATGGTAACAATTAGCGAAAAATATAAATATACAATAACAACCAAAATTTATTGTAATTGGAATGAAACAGCTTTGCAAAAGAAACTAAAAGGTATTACCAAAGATGGAAACCAGAAAAAGTGAAGACCTTCAAGAGAATTTAAGGCACAAGACACTCCTTCAGTTCAGAAATACCCTTATCCAAGAAGGATGGCAAAATATTTTACAGCAAAATGGAAAAATAGATAATGTCGGTTTCATTTTGGTGCAGACTTCTTTATCCGCTTGCCATTTTGCCACACAAATGAATAGTTTTCTTCCAACTGCTTATAGCGTTCAATTTCTTTTGTTGCATCATCATTGCCACCCTTTAAAAGAAAAAGGAAAAGGTTAGCAACAATGTTAAGTAATACTCTCTACACTGGGACAATTACAAAAAAACAGCTATTAATTCCATTAAGTCACACACTTATTTAAAGATTCTCATATTCCAACAGACATTTTCCAAAAACTTATTACTATTCTTTTTTAAATAGAAGTAATTACAAAAAAAAAAAAAAAAAAATCAATAACTAGTTTTGAAAGAAAATCTTGAAAGCTGTCTAAAATATTTTTCTAAATATCATTTTTTAAATGTTTTATCAAATTACTGTTCCAATTCTTTGCTTACTATGCATTTAAGATGTAATATTAACTATTTAAAAGTTTATTTGCAATACAAGATTCCATAGATAATTATATATATATATATATATATATATACACACAAGTATAGGATTGGTGTATACGGAATAAATTCCAATAACCAACAATTACTATTCTTAAAAATTATATTCGCTTGTGATGATGTTGAATATTCAACATCACCACTTGATAAGACACCAGATATGTTGAAACAAAATGGCTATTTTTGTAGTGATTTTATAACATATTTATGTTATAATTTTCGAATAAATAATTATATATATATATATATATATATATATATATATATATATATATATAAATATATATAAATAAATAAATGAAGAGTGTTATTTGAACAAAAATAATTCTTTTATGGACTGATCAAATTTCATTAATATTTATCCATCATAATTTTTCTTATGATGGTATTTTGTACAAAAGTTGCTTGAAAATAAATATTTAAATTCCTTACCAAAATGGCAACAATCATATTCTTAAATGCTGCTGTGTCTTCATCAGATAAAACTTTCAATGAATCATCATCACTATCATAGTAACCAGCTGTAATGATGCTAACTTGGATCTTGTCACCTGTTTATGAATGAGACAGATATTTATATATCATTGTCATAATATATATGTGTGTGTGTGTGTGTGTGTGTATTTAGGCAGCAATCCTTCTTTCATGCAAGTTTAATTAAATATGACAGACAAGGTGCTTTCATGAATTTTTTTTTATATAATTTCTCATGTGATCTTATAATTTTTGTCTTTAAACAAAAACTGTCCAAATGTTTGTTTTTTTTCCAAGCACATTTGGCTATACATTTAGCTGTTTTCAAGGTTGAAATATATTAACTGTTAACTAGAAATAGATTGTTGTATGTATGTATTTATATGTTTCATTTTCAAAACACAGTCAACATATTGTGTCCATGTTCATAGTTGATATTAATGCATGTTGCTTTTTTTTTTTATTTTATTGATAAGGCTTCCATTATTTTTAGCCTTTTTTTACATGTTGATGATGCTATTATATTTCTATTATCAACAAGTATGTTATGAATAGGGTCCAGTTTTATTAATAAAAACAAAACAATATCAACTATGAACATTGACACAATATGCTGATCATGTTTTGAAAATTAATCATTATATAAATACATACATACAACAATCTATTTCTAGTTAACAGTTAATATATTTCAACCTTAAAAATGGCTAAATGTATAACCGAAAACACTCAGAAAAAACATTTGGACAGTTTTTTGCATAATTTATCTACTGAAAAGATATATGGTAACATAAAGAACTGACATCAAAGTAGCCTATCAAATCAGTGAAATACATTATCTCACATTCATTTACAAGACAAAAATATTAGAGGCCTTTCATTTCTTGCTATCAGATTTCAATATTAGGCATCATCAAAGTCATCATTAACATACCATTATTAACTTTATTTAAATAAAAAAAAATAGGCAAGGCTATTATTTCAAAGATGAAAAATAACTATTTTACATAAAAATAAATTTATATTGAAAAATGGGAGCAGGGAGTGGGGATACTTTAGTAAATTCACTGGTTCATTAATAAAGTTAGCTTTAGTTCAAACCAAGACAGAAATGTAGTCTTTAATTACATTATATTAGGCAGGAAAAGTTCACATTTTATAATTAGGTAGCATTTGAACATGTGATTTAATTTCACACATGACAGAAATTTATTACATATTTACATATAAATGTCTGATTGTTAATTTTAAAGATTTTTAGGTTAAAAGTGAAAATGGAGGAAAAGGAGATGCATCATCTAATGCCCTTTTATTTCTAGAAAGATAAAAACATTGTACAAACAGCAAAAAAGATGTGTCATTTACAGGGATAGTGACAGGTAAGAATACTATTTATAAGTGGTTCACTAGGTTTAAAAGTGGGAATTTTGATCTGGAAGTTGAGCAGGCCAACAGTCATTGATGATAAAATCAAACTGTTGATTAAAAATAGTCACAGGTCACATGACAAGACATTACAGAAATACTCTACATATCTCAATGAACATTGTTAGACATGAAAACACAAGGATACCATATAATACTTGTGTATGAATTGACTTCATATATACTGCAGCCCTGGATTTTTTTTTACATGAATTTTAATCCCTCCAGAAAAAAAAATTTACCTATGTATAGTACAACCACTCACTGAAAATGCATAATTTTAACTGCTTCAAAAAAAAAAAAAAAAAAATTTACCTGTGTATAGTATGACACTCCCACCACTATTTTTTACATAAAATACTGATCATAAGTAAAAACTCACTCTATACTCTAGTATATATGATAAGTGAATCATTATGATATTAGGTTTGGTGTGGTTTGGTTTATTTAGTTTAACAGCATAATCAACCTCAAAGTGTTATTTAATGCCAACAAGATTTTTCGGACATGTTTGTATGAATAGAGTATACATTCTTTGTAAGAAATAATTTTGTAGATCATGTTTCATTGACATATTTTTTAAAGGGGGATTTTGTCAAGAGTCAAATATATTGCTGGTAATAATTTTTCCTTCAAAAATATATTGCAGGTAATAATTTTTCCTTAAAAATTGGTTGGAGATTGTTAAAAGTTATTTATGAAATTGCATAATCTGCCATTTAATCCCAAATTGTATAGGTCTTTCATTATTCCATGTCGTCTCATAGGCCTTTTCTAGATCAAGGAAGATGGCTATTGTGTTCTATTTAATAAAAGACTCTCTAATGAAAGTTTCTAGGTGGAATATGTTGTCTATGGTGCCTCTTTTATTTCAGAATCCACTCTGGAGATTGGTAATTAAATGTAGGTAAGCAGATTTGGTAAAGAGTTTTTTAGGGGTTTTTTCCCCCCGCTCCTGTAGAGCCCAATTTCTTTAATGAAATTTATGTTACTTGGATCGGTATTTTCGATTAGATCCTTTAAGTAATCCAATTTGTAGAGTTTGTTTCGGTTTGCTGGAAGTTACAGCAATTTAGTAGAATGTATTTAATGGCATATGGTTCCTGGCATACGACACATACTGGCAGTTCCTCATTTTTTAGTAGATGTTGGTGGGTTATGTATGTGTGCTCTATACATAGTCTGGCTAGTATCACCACCTCTCATTATTTTCTTGTAATTTGACTTTTTCATGAATGATTGGTTGGATGTTGAGTAGTTTGTTGTTTACAGTTATTCCTTAATTACTGCCATTTTGATTTAATGGTCCTGCTTATGATGGATTGGAAGTCAGTGTATGGCACCTTTACATTTGAGAGGGCCATGTTCAGTGATTCCTTTGCCATTTTGTTGGCTTTTCCATTTCCTTGTATGCCAATATGGCTCAATATCCAGCATAGGACTATTACATCATCTTTTCCCTTATAAATAGAGTCAATCCTATTTAATAATTTATTTATTAAGGGGTTTCACATGTTTTTATTCTTCAGAGCTTTGAGTATACATATTGAATCTGAGAAGATGATGAATCTATCTGACCTACTGGATTCTATATCTAAAGCCAAGTGTATGGCTGAGGCTTCTTCACTGAATATTGAGGCTTAGTCAGACAATCTTTTCTGCATTGTTATGTTGTTAAGGATAGTAGAGCATCCAACTCTGTCCAAGATTTTAGAGTTATTAGTGTATATATGTTTATGACTTAGGTCAGCATGTAGAATATTATGGATTTCTTCCATGTAATCGGATAAGTTAGAATTAATTCTAGGGTATTTAGTAAGGTTTAGCATACTCATAGGGTATTTTATTAAGCAGGGTGTATTTTTTGAGTTGGTGGTTTATAAGAATTAGTGTTGGATTTATTTCTGTTTACTGATGAGATTTTTCATGTAAAGGCCAAAAGGTTTGACAGCATTTTCTTTTTTATGAAATAGATTTTTGTATTTTGGGTTGAAGGTAGAGAGTTGGGCAGGATTTTAGTTTTAGATAATATTGTAATAACAATTTTTCTCATCTCATTTATGCTTCAGCATATAAACATTCTATGGGTGATGTTTTGAAGGCACACAGAGTCAGTTTTAATCTTGCATGGTCAATGGGGTCAAGGGTTAGGATTTGGGGGTCAACCCATATATGAAACATCTGTAGTCCAATTTAGTTCTTATTAGAGTTTTATATAATTTTACGAGTGATATGCAATATTTTCCCATAGTAATTGTAATACTTTGAAGCATTTCTGATTTATATATTTTAAGTGGGGGATGAAAGTAAGTTTTTTTTTATCAAAAAAATATTCCCAGAAATTTATGTTGGTCAGTCATTTCAATTTCTGTTCCTTCAAGTTTAAGAGTTGATCATTGTTCATTTTTTTTTTTCAGATTACAGAAATGGTTTTGTTTTGGTTGGGAAGAGTTTTTGATAGTCCATTGGTTTATTTATGCACACTTGCAGTTGTTGTTCTGCAATGTGCATATTTTTTGATCTGTAGCAGATCAAAAGGTCATCTAATTATAATGAACCATCAACTCCTTGATTCAAGCAATTAACAATATTGCTAATTTTTATATTGAAAAGAGTGATGGACAGGATGCAACCTTGTGGAACTCCTTGGATTTTTGAGTTCAAGAGTGTTGATCCTACCCAAACTTTGAAACTACTATTTGACAAAAAGTTATTTATCAAACTGGGTAATCTGCCCTTTAATCCCAGATTGTATAGGTCTTTCATTCCATGTCGTCTCATAGGCCTTTTCTAAATCAAAGAAAATGGCTATTGCATGATCTTTTTAATAAAAGCCTCTCTAATGAAAGTTTCTAGGTGGACTATGTTGTCTATGGTGCCTCTTTTATTTCGGAATCCACTCTGGAGATTGGTAATTTAAACCATTAGTTTCAAGGTACCAGTTCAACCTTTTATTCACTATTCTAGGGTTTTGCATATGCAACTTGTTAATGTTATGGGTCAGATGTTTTGGGGGTCTGATTTGTCATTATCTGGTTTTGGTATAAGGATCACAGTAGCTTGTTTCCAGCTATTTGGTAGTTTTTCTTTAAACCATATCTTGTTAAAGATGTTTAACACATATTTTATGGATTTTAAGGGAGTTGTTTAAGAAATTCATAATGAATTTCATCTAGGCCAGTTGCTGAACTATGTGATTTGCTTATGGCATCTATAAATTCATTTAGAATAAAAGAATGGTTGTAATCTTTGTTGTTTAAGTTCAGCTTATTTTTTTTTGCGCATCATGCCTAACTTTTTGGAATTGCTGTTTGTAGTTTTTGCTGGAGGAATTTTTTTTTTAAAGGTAGCAAGTAGATTTGCTATATCCTTTTTGCTTGTTATTTTCATTTTATTTTAGGAAAGGTGATTTAGAGGAGGTGATAGATTTTTGCCAACAACTTTCCTTATCATATTCCAGACTTTTCTTGGTTTCATATTGGAGTTTATTTTATTTATGTAATCTCTCCATGAATTTCTTTTAGTTTCTTTGATTGCTGTACATGTTATTGCTCTTTTTTGCTTGAATAGATTTAAATTATGGGTTGTAGGTTGAGTATTAAATTTTTGTAGTGCTGCTCTTTTTGCAATCTTTGTCAAACCATGATGTTTA